CGCGGGCCTCTCACTGCTGTGGCCTCTCCCGTTGCGGAGCACAGGCTCCGGACGCGCAGGCTCAGCGCCCATGGCTCACGGGCCCAGCCGCTCCGCGGCATGTGGGATCTTCCCAGACCGGGACACGAACCCGTGTCCCCTGCATCGGCAGGCGGACTCTCAACCACTGCACCACCAGGGAAGCCCAATAAGGCCGATTTTTAAAAACTCATTAACACATAATCATATTTAACTATTGACAACAGCTTTTTACCCTAAGAACTACAGAACTTCAAAGAATATTAAAAATCACCAAATTATTAAGAGGTAACTTTTAACCAGAAAATAGATATATGAGAACTTAAAAGCTCTGAGAATGTAGCCACTTTCACCCTACTGAATTTGGCCATGTGGATAAACAGTAGTTGCCTGGAAACTAATATAAACTCTAGTCTAGATTTCTAACAAACACACTGACTACATTAGCAGGTGATCTCATGGAGGATAAACTAAGCTTTACATTGAAGAGTTCCTTTAGTATTATAAAATAATAATGCATTTGAATTATTTATCTAAAGTATTTATCTAAATAACTTTAAGAAACAATAATTATTTCTTATTATTAACAAGGAATAATAAAAGTAGATCATGAAAAATTAAAATATGAAATTAAACATACATACACACATACACACACACACACACACACACACACACACAAACACACATACACAATCCCTTTCCTCATTCGGTCTTTTACTTTAGGACTTTACTTATCTATGGGATTACTGAATCCATGAGTTTGTGAGTGAATCCTTCCTCTTTACTACTTTAAGCCCTTTCCCTGCCACCGCCCAAACTGGCTCGATATAATTGAATACTTTTATTTATATATTTACATGTCTTTAAATGCATACAAGTTAGATACTTTTCTAGATATTAAATCATTCTAAAGACACCTCTCTGGATTGTAGAATCTGTGGACAATACAGAAAAATACACCATGAACTTTCTGTAACATCCATGCACACAACATACCAGAAAGCCAAACCTTCTTGATTATAAATGATCAAAATCAAGAATTACAAAGAATTCCTAAATAACAAGCAAATTCCTAACACATTTGTTAAATATCATTTCTATCTTAGTGGACATAGTATGTCACAGTTTACTTTGTTAACAGCATCAGAAAAAAATATCAACTTCCAGGACACCACTTAGTGTTAGCACTTACCAACCATATTATTTTCAGTTTTGTTGAACACTTACCCCTCTTCTGAACCCAACCTTCTTTCACAATGGTAACATCGCTCATGATGGCGCCCCTCTGAGCCCCCAACTTGGAGAAAAGGTACTTTGTGATACCAGCTTTGGGGTTTGGATTCTCTGCTGCTGCTGCCCTTCCCACTCTCTAGTGATGACTCAGCCTGGAAGGAAGTATTGAAGAAAGAATTTCTTTTTTTTCCATTCTTGCAACTCACACAGCAATAACAAACAACTAATTCTTTGTAAATGTCTTCAACTGGCCTGACCTCACATAAAAGTCTAGCTCTTCAAACTGGGGAACTTATTTATTAAGTAGTTTTATAATGAATGCACTTTCCTGGTCTTGTGACAGAACTTCAAAAGACAGTGAAACTTTTACAAGGTTGCAACAAAAAAATGTCTTAAGAAAACCACTGTCACACCTACACAAATAATACAGAAAATTTCCTTGGTAATGTGTGTTTGAGGTGAAAAGGGAAGAGAATGAAAGTGAGGTGGACTAAAAGTAAATCTTCATGTACGTCTAGTTTCAAAATCTCAGTAAATTTAGAAATAGTATGGCAAAGCAATTGTGAATGTTTTTAATTGCTGGATTTTATGTAAAAAACAATGTGCTAAGTAACCAACATTTTATCTATGCTTACTCTGCCTTGTTCCAAGAAATATTTTAGGTAGATTACAATAAATAAAATATTATAAATCATATAAATTCAATTATTTTTTAAAGTAGATATAGTGAAACAAAGGGAATATGAAAGTGGGAAAAAGTATGGAGTATTCAGGACATGTCAAGAACTATTACAGGTGCTTACATCTATTATACAATTAACTCCATTTCATAGATGGGAAAACTAAGGCTCAGAGATTAAGTGGCTTGCCTGATTTCAACACAGCTAATGAATGATGGCACCAAGATCTGAACCCAATCTACCTGATTCCAGAGCCTGCATTCTTATTGACTTAAGATAAAAAGAAGCCAGAGTAAAAATCTACATATTTGTGAAAGATGGACCACAAATTTAACTTGAAGCTTTCAGGAAGCAATACAAATAAGGAAATACAATCAGTTTCAATATTTACAGTATCCATAAATATTTTAAAAAAGAAAAAAAGAAGTTGTTCAGAAGGAAACAATTCGTTCTAGGACAAAAATCTGAAATTTAACCCATAGGTCTTCATAAGATACCTTGTAGTGTAATAAACAAAAGCCCTCAAAAATATCCTCACATATATACAGCAATATATATGAGCTTTACTGGCTATTTCTTATTGTCCCTCTCAAGCTAAAAAGGAAAGTGCCAAGATAAAATTGAATTAAAGCATTTCCACAGAAAGAGACCAAAAAACGTGACCCAGGAACCCAGGCATAAATTTCAGATAACCAGAAAAATGGATGCATGGACTATGTAACTATACTATTTTCTCAAATATGGTTTCAATAAGTAGTGCATAGGAATAAGTTCAAGGTTAGACTTCCTAGCTAGCACTGAAATGAATTACAGTTCTTTTTCCAATGCAAATTAAGTACAGAGCCTAATCATTTAGCAGTCAGGAATTAAGACTACCATTCTCTTAAGAAAAGACTGACAAAGTTTATGTGGCTGAATAGAAGACCACCCCACTCATGTGCCATGGGGCTGAGGGCAGCAACTACAGGCTGGAGCAAGACTATCCTCAAAAATCATTCAGGTCTGCTACTGTACAGAGTCAAAAGGAATATTAGAATCTCGGTGTATTCTCCCAAAATATGTTTGACAGAATACGAAGAGAAATTCCAGAAAAATAAGAAGAAAAAGAGGGTTAAAAAAAGAAAAAAAATTATTTGGTCAAGTAGGTTTGCAAAATTCTATAAACCATGTCTTTCTCTTGAAACAACACTATTACCATATTAAAGGTACAAAATATATAATGTATAAACTTATTTATCTCAGCAAATCCTAAACTTACTTGAACACACACAGCTTTTTTTTTCCTTTAGTAACATGTATTGAAATCCAGGGGAACACACTGTGAAAAACAGCCATAGGAAATGGCCACATAATTCAAGACAAGACCCATTTCACCATTAAAAACAGGCAAAAAACAAAAACAAAAAAGCTTTCAGTAAAGAATCAAAACATCATTTTAATTTGATTTATGTAACTTCCTGAAGAACTCAACATGGTCAAATGGCTACTTAATATGAAGCTAGATAACTGAAAGGGTTAACTCTTTATACAACATAAATAATTACAATTAACCCTTGAACAACATGGGTTTGAACTGTGCAGGTCCATTTATATACATGGATTTTTTTTCAATAAATACAGTACCTGCATTTTCATTTTACAGATCTTTAAACAAAGTGTGGGGAAAAGTCTGTGTTCAATTAGAGACCACAATATGTAGAATAAAAAGAACTAAAGTTTGAATCCTTATTTTATCCAAACTGTTTCAGCTTCCTGCCCTTGGATAAGTCATTTATCAATTCCTTTGTTGTTGAGACAGAGATAGCAGTAGGCAGATTTTTGACACTGGGGTTGGGGTGAGGGAAGCAACCCACCCCAGTACTGGTCAAGAGTCAACTGTATAAGGGAGTTAAATATTAGGGACACTAGTGCAAAATGATGTCTTTAGAAGAACTGCACTTAGACCTTCTCTTTGGTAGTACTTACAGCAAGAGGCCTCACATCTATTAAGCCATTCTTGGTTTCTGACTATAAAATTGTATACTCTGGGTAAATGAAAATTTGTATCTTAATATCCTTGGGATTGGAAAGGGAAGAGATCAGCGACCAACACTTAGTAATAAACAAAAAATAATACACATCCAATAAACATATATAGAATATTTTCCTATTAAAATAATTTGGATTATAATACCCTTATATAAAACACTAGAAAAACAAAAGTATTTTCAAAATTGATTCTATTTTTTTTTAAGTGGACATTTCATTGAAAGAATCTTAAAGCTAGAAGGGACCCTCATTTTACAGTTGAGGAAACAGAAATCAAGACAGATAAGTGACTTGCCCAACGTCATACAGCTACTTTATAAGAGAATCAAGACCACAAAAACAGGTACACACTTTCCACTAGCACTGCCTCTTCAGGACAAAACAATATATTGAAATATTCAGATCAACCCAAAATCAATGAATTCTGTTTTATAAAGAAACTGTTTCCAAAAACTAGTTTTTTAGATAAAGATACTTATCAGTGCCTAAACATTTAAACTTCTAAAATGTATATTAAATCAACAGGACAAAATTTATCATCTTCAACAGGGCCAGTGAACCAGGTACTACAGAGATGGCTTTATCCATTTTGCATCTTAAAATGTTACCAAATTCCACCCATATTCATAATTTTCAGCTTTAAAATTGCTCTGGCTAAAATGATACATTACTTGAACACAATTTAAAAGACGTTCAAAGGTATACTACTCTAGGATTATGATCAATAAGCTAGAAATAAATGCTGTGTTTGGTATAGAACCAATGCTATCAACTCTCAAGCAGTAAACTATATTCTTTGATCTACTTTTCCTACAGTGGCAACACTCTTGCACCAAGTCAAATACACTCTCCCACTCAGTCTTCCATGTTATTAAAAACACTAGTCTGCTAAATGATGGGCTGTACTTCAGGCATGTAATCTGCTTCCTAAGGTAGAGTCCTACGGTCCTAACTTCTTTAGAAATGTGCTCTATCCAATGAGCTGTAAGAAAGAAAATTTGGTATATTTTTCTTTTAAACCTATTGCGTTAAACGTTCATTGCTGAGTAATCTAATTTTTCCCATTCTTCTAAAAAATTTCACACAAAATTCTTAGTAGATTCAATTTATAATTTACACAAAGCAGTTACACTAAAAGTATTTTCACACAAAATTATCTGAGAATTTGATAATAATAATTACATTTGAATGTCATTTTACAATTTACAAAACATTTTCACATCTTTTACCTCATTCAATAGCATTATTATTTAGTAAAGCAATTTAATGCTGCCTGGCACATAAGAGATGCTCAACAAATATGGAATAAATGAATGAATGGATGAGTGAAAGAACAAAGATGCAGCTTTAGATACCTAATAAAGACGAAGCAAATTAATACTATAAGTCGACAGAGAATGGTATGAAGCCATGGTAAAAACAAACCTGAACTTAAACATTATGGAAGCACCTACAAAAAAATAATTAAAGTTGAAATAAATATTCTTCCCTATTCATTAAAGTATGTTTCCTATAGACCTCCATTAATTTTAAGGCCTAACACACATTAAAATTATCCTTTTTTCTCGACTCTTTTTGTTGAGATGGTCAAGTTTCAATTCCCAAACAAATCAAGCATCAACACTGCCCAAAATTATCCATTATGGGAGGAAAAAGGGAAAGAATAGGATATTTTTTTCATGATACTTTTAAGAATTTTTAAAAGATATCTGTTTACTTACAGCAGCCAACCATTCAATTTTAAGCAATAAAGTTCTTCAAACATCTGTTTAAAATATCATTCGTGCAAGAAAACGTTATTTTATATATATATATATACACACACACACACACACATATATGTTCATTCAGTCAATAAAGATGTATTGATTATCTACTCTGTGACAAGAACTATAATTGAGTATACAGGGGGCAAGCAAAACTAAGTATTTCAAAAATCTTTTCCAAACCTATAATAATTTGTTATCAAAGTGCTTTCACATACATTTTCTCATTTAACTCTGAAACAAATTTGTGCAGTAGCTATCACATCTACAATTTTGAACCTAAGAAGACTGTAACCAATCAATAACGATGACATTTCCTCACAGTTACCATAACAAGTTAGTGACAAGTAACTACTTCTTCTATCAGTTTGTTATGCTTTCTACAAAATAACACAATATGAGCTCTCAAAAACATGTACAACATTTGTGAATAGTTCTGAACTTTTTCTGTAACAAATTATATTTCAGAAGTCCAGTAAAGTATGTTTTCAAATTAAAAATTAAATATAAATACTGCATCACAAACGAAATTATAATAGAAGACTAAAAGTTAAGTTGACATAAAGTTAAAAAGCACCCCCAGCAATTCTATTTTATAAAGAGCAAA